AAGTGCAGCCGGTCTGATGGCCGAGTGCTGTGATGTGCCGAGTGTGGGCACTCAGGGCACTCCAAGCCAGGACTGCTTTGCAAGCGGGGCACCCCTGAGAACTGTCTGTCCGGGGTGGGGGTCGGGACCCTTTAAGCACAGCCCTCGGCTAGCCTGAGACAGCATCTCCACGCTCTAAGTCCTCTGATGCCCTGCCGGCACTGCTTCCGGCCATCCTTAAGCCCGGTTCAGGGTCCACTTAATGTGGACATGCTAGTTCGAATTAGCAAAACGCTAATTCTAACTAGTTTTTTAGTCTAGATCCGTTAGTTCGAATTAGCTTAGTTCGAATTAACTAATTCGAACTAAGTTAGTTTGAATTAACGTTGTAGTGTAGACGTACCCTATGTCTGCTTCTCCACTGCATGCTGCCAGTCTTATAGATGGAGGGAGAACTATGACTTCTCAGTCTAGCATCTTTCACCACGTTAAAATTCGTGTGGAGGAGAGAAAAAGCCAAACTGAAACAAGACAGAATTCTCCTTGTTAAATGTGCTATTTCTAAACCTGTTCAGGTTGTGGTGGTGCAGGCTATCAGTGCCTTGTGTCAGAAGTACCCGCGTAAGCATTCAGTCCTCATGAATTTCCTCTTCACTATGCTCCGGGAAGAGGTAAGAATCCTGGTCAGATAATTTGTATGGTTGTTGTTTATTTCTATTGCAGTAATACCAAGAGGCCCCAGTCAGAATGAAGCCCTGTAGTGCTAAATGCCATATAGCAAATGCTGTGTAGCAGGTGAAAAGCTTACAATCCCAATGTAAGCATGATTAGTAGAAATGGCAAGCTTGATAGGTGACAGGTGACTGCAATGTGACCTCAAAAACTATTTATCAATGTGTTTCCATGATCTGATTTGCATCATGAGTGGGATTCTGCTACTTGGCTTAATTAACTTTCAAAGCAAATCCGTGTAACACAGCGATGGGCAGCTGAGACTACTGAGTGGCCCTCCTTCCTCTCAGTGGGATGCAAGATTGAAATTCAGTGGTGGGCAGCCTGCGGGCCACATGCTACCCATTGAGGTTCCACTTGTGGGTGGCCCATGCACCTCTCTCTTCCCCATTCCTTGAAGCCTCTTGTGCACTGGGGCACTGAAGCCCCACACTTATTTACTAGGGAGGTTAAGAAGTTTGTAATTTGTTAATCTTGTAGTTGACATAAATTATGTCGACTCCATGATTAATCAATAAGGGTTAGTAGTGAAAACACTCAGGCCCGGATCATGCCAGGCCTAGCACCATCCCCATTGCAGCTCTGCACTGTTAGGGGACTGGGGAGCCGGTGCACAGGCAGATGGGCTCAGTCACAGGTTGATGCTGGAACCCAGTGCAAGCTGGGACTAAGCCAGCCTGCCTGTGTGCTAGCTCCCCAGTCCTCTATTAACACAGAGCTGCAATGCAGAGTAATGCTGGGACCAGGCATGAGCTGGGAATGAGCCAGCCTGCCCGTGCACTGCCTCCCCAGTCCACTAATAATGCAAAGCTGCAGCAGGAAGCCCAGGACTGAGCCAGCCTGTTGGCCAGCCCATTAAAAAAATATACTTGCAGAGCTAGAGGGGGTGGGATGCAGGTAGCCAATAATGTTAACCAATAAGCGGGATTGTTTAGTCAACTACAATATTACATCCTATTATCTACTTCTCCCGCTCCTGCCCAGCACTTTCCGAGCACCATGAATTGGCTGATTCGTGCTACTCTTGCTCGCTTCCAGAGCTTGAACGCTTCAAATCAGCCAATTCACAGCGCTTTGAAAGTGCTGGGAGGGAGGGGAAGGAGTAAGTGTGGGGCTCCAGTGCGTGAGAGACGTGGGGAAAGAGGGCAGAGAGGGGGTGCTTGGGCCACTGGTTGCCCACCACTGAGAACAGGAGATCAACTGGCAATACACGTCTGCATAATATTGAACACGAGTAAATTACATTCTGTTGTTGCCTATTGTATTTTGACACTAAATTTTAAGCCTTTTTTTGTGTCAAAAGTCCATTATCAGATGACCTAAAACTATTTTAGCTCTGCTCCCCCTGCTGTTGCAGTGAGAGATCATATCTGAAGTCATTCTCTGTGTGCCTTCAGATGCAGAATTTTATGAAAGTACTGTTAGAGATTTTCCAAAATCCTTTCTGAGTAATATCCTGTTACACTCAGGACTCCACATATGCCTGCAACCAAGCTGGCATGAACATTGTCAGTTATGACATCATATTCTGCTTATTCAAGCCTCCCATTTTGGAACATACAAAATCTTTTTATCTTGTACTTTGAAAACAGAATATTCTGTTTGCACAGATTTTGCATGGGTGGCTGATCTAATTTTGAAATACAGTTTCAGAGTTCAGACCACTCAATTTTATGACTCTTTCATCCACTGTAGCTCCTAATATATTTAGAGCACCCATAATTGTACATATAAATTAGAAGAGGACATCACTCTGTTTACTGTTCTGTTGTACAGAATGAACATGAGTAAATTACTTTTGAAGGTAATCTTATGTGTATTCAGTAGTCAGTTGCAGGGTACACCAGGGGAGATACCAGTCTTTCATCTTCCTACCCTACTGCACTGCATTTTGTTGGCCCTGCAGCGATTGATTTGATACCTAATGTACTTCTTTTGTGATCCAAACTTGGATATCTGATGTGGGAGGAGGATTTGTTTTCCCCCCAATATGGTTATGTAGTGATTCAACCAGCAGAGTGGCTCAAAATGGACCCTTTCTTAAAAGAGATGTAAACTCTTCAGGCTGGTGGCTGCAGTCCTTTTTTAAGGCTTGCTTTTTTATTGGTGTGTTTGTGATTGTTCTCTGGAGTGAGCTGCACAGAGACCGTGAATATTAGCAGCTCTTAAGTAAGCATAGAAGTAAGTAAGCATAGAAGTAACTTCAAAGTCCCGTTGAAAAACTAAGAGCTTTGGTGTGCCTCCGATCTCTATAATGTTTATAAGAGCTGGATCCAGCATGGTTCTGTCAGTGCAATTTTTTTGAGGTGCAGTACACATCTGGAAATAGTTGGAAACATTCCAGTGCGCTGAACAGACCTGACAAAGTGGGGCAATGTTGCTACATAGTTCTTTTCAAACACAAGTTAAAAGTCAGCAGTCATGAATATCTCTTTCAAAACTAAATCCCTCCCTGATTAACATTCCCAATGAAAACTTCTGGTCTCCTTTGAATTTTCTCACTGGCCTTTGCTGTGTAGGGCGGTTTTGAGTACAAGCGAGCTATCGTGGACTGCATCATCAGCATCATTGAGGAAAACTCTGAGAGCAAAGAGACTGGCCTGTCTCACCTGTGCGAGTTCATTGAGGACTGTGAGTTCACTGTCCTGGCCACTCGTATTCTCCACCTGCTGGGGCAGGAAGGACCCAAGACCAATAACCCTTCAAAATATATTCGCTTCATCTACAACAGGGTTGTCTTGGAACATGAGGAGGTCCGGGCAGGTAAGGTGCAGGCCTGGAAAAATACATGTTGAGTACATTTCTGTGACTAACATCAAGTAAAGAGGCTAATCCGCTTGTTTTTTTTACCTTCTGTGGACTGTGATTTGGTGCTCAGCTTAGTCCCTCATAACTCTTTATCCATAGTAAGAAGACTCCAGAATCTCTTGGTAGGAATGCTGGTCTCCATGGAGAAGAATACACGAGGGCAGGCTTTAATGTTTTAAGGCCATGTCTTCACTTCCCAGAAGATCGATGCTGCAGCAGTTGATCTTCTGGAATTCGATTTAGCGGATCTAATAAAGACTCACTAAACCAAATGCTATGGGTGCCCCATCAACACCAGAATTCCTATTCCTCGCAAGGAATAAGGGAAATCAATGGGAGCATTTCTCCTGTTGATCTCCTGCTGTGAGGACAGCACCAAAGCTCAAGTATATCGACTCCAGCTACGTTTTTTATGAAGCTGGAATTGTGTACCTTAAACCGACCTTCCCCTGTAGTGTGGACCTGGCCTTAGAAGAGGAAGGTGTAGGAAGATTTACCAGCACTTTGCTGCACTATGCCTGGCTCTGTCTTATATATATGTATTTTAGAGATTGTGTCTGTCTGTGAGTCTGTTTGTTCAAGAACTACTAAATGGTAAGAGCTAACCACCAAATTTGGTATACAGCTTCCTCTTATCCTAACGTAACGCAAGGTCAGGTTTCGGTTGTGTTAGGAAAACAGGAAGTGCCTGGAATTCATTTGTTTCTCATAACATGGAAAGGGAGGGGGCTGACTGAAGGAGAGCTATATTCAGAGTGACCACTGGAAGCACTGAGCATGAGGGACGGATACTGCAGAGTGACCAATGGGGCAGCTGCACCAGGAAGGGATTGGCCAGCTGGAGACAGGGCTCGATGTCTTGCTTGCCATCAGCCCAGGCCACCCTGTCCCAAACTCACCTCCTCCCCCTCCTTCCCCCCCTCCTTGGCTGCAGTATGGAGGGGAAGCCCCGCCCCTCCATGGAGCACTGCCAGGCAGCACAGCCCTGCCCCCGCCTCCCTCCATTGCAAGATCCACAGTCCGTCCGTCCCCAGCACCGCTGGCATGCCTATCATGGCTGCGCCCGGCCCACCTGCGCAAACCCTCCCTTCTCCACCCTCCAACTCCCTCCTCTGCTCTAGGCTGGGCTGGGGAAATACTGGTAGGATCTCTGAGCAACTTTCCCTCCCACCCCACCCTTCCTTGTCCTGGGCCAGGCCCAAGCAATGCTAGTTAAGTCATCTATATAATAATGGCCACAGTGGGTGAGGCCATTGGCCATCTAGCCTGATGTCCTGTCTTCAGAGGCAGTGAACAGAACAAGTGATCCATCCCAGTGCCAGTGTCTAGTAGTAAGGGGTTTAGAGACATCCAAAGCATGGGGTTGTTTCCCTGAGCATTGTGGCTAATAGCCATTGATAGACCTCTCCTCCTTGAATTTACCTAATTCTGTTTTTAATCCTGTTTATACTTTCGGCCTATACAACATCCCCTGGGAACATATTGTTTTTGCATTGTGTGAAGTAGGGATTTAAGCAAGTAGTCGACTACTTGACTACTCACATTCCCTCCCCGCTTGCTGCTTCTGTAACAGCAAGGAGGTGGAGCAGACTTAAAAGGTGCTGCCTGCTGCCCCCCACCCCTGCACGTGGCTGCCTCTATGAGAGGCAGCAGCGGAGTGGGGGGGCAAAGCAGTCGCTGCCTGCCACAGTCCCGGGTCATCTGTGGAGCAGCCCCTGTTCATGGATGTCCCAGCTCCCTGCTGAGACCCCCTGGGAACAGAGGCTGTGGGACACAGCACGAGCTGGGACTGAGCAAGCCTGGCTCAGTCCCAGCTTGTGCTGGGTCTTGGACCTACCCCTGCTGTGGCTCTGCAATTTAAATGTAGTAAGAATTAGGTGGGCAGGGCAAGGTAGTTTACAGCATTTAAACAGCAGAGCCTCAGTGGGAGTAGCTCCTGGACCCGGCATGAGCTGGGACTGAGCGCCTTCCCTTATCGACTAATTGTGTAGTTGATGATAATTCACAATTAGTGAAATACGCACTTCTTAACATCCGTAGTGTGAAGTACTTCCTTATGTGCACTCAACCTGCTGCATATTAATTTCATTGGGTAACTACTGGTTCTTGTGTTCAGTGAAGGGGTAAATAACACTCCCTATTCACTTTTTCACACCGTCTATGATTTTATAGATCTCTTTCATATCCCCTGATATCTCTTTTGCAAGTTGAACAGTCTTAGTCTTTTTTTATCTCTCCTCATATAATCATTTTTGTTGCTCTTCTCTACACTTTTTCCAGTTCTAATATTTATTTTTGGAAATGGGGAGAACAGAACTGCACGCAGTCAGTGTTCCAGGTGTGGGCACAGTATAGTTTTCTGTAGTAGCGTTGTGATTGTTTCTCTCTTACAAGCCATTAGAAAAAGGGTAGATAATAACATTAGCTTTTTGGCACACTGAGCAGATGTTTTCAGAGAACTATCCATGATGACGCCAAGATCTTTCCTGAGAGAGCTAATTTAGAGCCCATAATTTTGTTATGTATAGTTGGTATGATTTCCATTGTGCATTACTTTGCATTTGTCAGCATTGAATTTCATCTGCCATTTTGTTGCTCTCACTCAGTTTTGTGATATCTGTTTGTAACTCTTTGCAGTCTTCTTTGGACTCAACTATCCTGAGTAATATTGATTTGTCTGATTGTTTGGCAGGATTCCTTTTTCTGATTAACTAAAAAAAATTGTTTTTTTTTTTTTTTTTTTTGCTCTTCAGTTTGTCTTTGTCTCTAAAACAGTTACATTAAAGTAAATACATAAAACAGAGGGAACTTCCAGTTGCTTTCTGTGCCAGCTGATCCTGTTTTCCTTGCTATTGCTACAGGTGCAGTAAGTGCTCTGGCTAAATTTGGAGCCCAGAATGAGGATGTGTTACCCAGCATCTTAGTGTTATTGAAAAGGTGAGCTACATATCAGAATATGTCCCAGCAAACATTTCAGAGATTCTTTTTAAGAATTTTAAATGTTTGGACAAACCTGGGATTTTCCTGACATGCGGGAGTGCCTGACCCAGTAGAGAGAACATAATGACACCTCTGGACTTGCACAGTATTTTGGGTGCAGCGTCCTAGAGGGTATATTATTGGGTATATAGAACACTGCCTCCCCTGATAGATTTGAATATTGGTGTCGCATTCAATGCCACAACATTAATGATAGAAATGAAATGTGATTTGTCCTTTTCATATGTGTTCATTTTTTTAAATTGTATCCTTTGGTATATATGGTTGTGATTCTTTTCTTCCACTATTTGATCTGAGGAAGTGGGTCTGGCCCACGAAAGCTCATCATCTAATAAACCATCTTGTTAGTCTTTAAAGTGCTACATACTACTAGCATGACTCTGTAATGCATATTTTCAGTTTCTTTAGGCCACCAAGGTAGATCAGTCATCTGCATACATTCACAGTGCTCACAGCTGGGTTTTGTCTTGCCTTCAGATGTGTGATGGATGATGATAATGAAGTGAGAGACAGAGCCACATTCTACCTAAACGTCTTAGAGCAGAAACAGAAAGCTCTCAACGCTGGCTACATCCTGAATGGTAACTGGATGCTTTTCAGAATAAAGCTGCATTTATTACCCAAGGTCACTAGGGAACAGGCTGGTTCCAGGGAGCTTGAACATCCTTCAGGCTGTCATAAATCCATTAATTGGCCTATAATTGCATGAAGGGTAAGGTCACGTAAAGACATTTGGTAGGTTACCTCTTGATGTGAAGGACACATGCATTTCAGTCATCTTTTCCAAATCTGCTCATACCTGTGCTGTAGGGCGGCTGACTTCTCAGGTTGTAGGACAGTGATGACTGTGCATGAGAGACTCGCGTTCAGACCCTGAGGAATGTAGTTACAGTAAAACTCCAATAGTCCGGCATCCAGTGGCCCGGCACTCCCGATAGTCTGGCACTAACTGGAACCCGGAAGTGCTCTGGCCAACCGGACAATTGGAGCTGCTCCGCACGGCTTCCCCAAGTCTGCTGCTGCTGCTGCTGAAACTGACCAGCTGTGGACTTGGGGAAGCAGTGCAGAGCAGCCGGGGTGCTGCCCGGTTGGTCCCGCAGTGCCGTCCCTCACCCCCCTGCTCGGCGCCCGGCAGCACCCGAGTTCCCCCTCCCGCTTGCACCCCCAGCTGGCCTGTCGGCGGCGGCTGCGCAGGGCTTCCTCCATCTGCCTGCAAAATGGCGGAGGGTTCACCCCACGCCGTGCCGTTCCCTGCTGGACCCCTCACCTCCCACAGACCCATCACAACCCCCCTGCCAGAGTACCTCCTGATACTCCAGCATATCCGATAATCCAGCACCCCCTGGGTCCCAAAGGTGCCGGATTATCGGAAGTCTACTGTACAATTAAACTGTCAAATGCATTCCAGATGTTTGCAGTGGCGGAGGGTTCACCCCACGCCGTGCCGTTCCCTGCTGGACCCCTCACCTCCCACAGACCCATCACAACCCCCCTGCCAGAGTACCTCCTGATACTCCAGCATATCCGATAATCCAGCACCCCCTGGGTCCCAAAGGTGCCGGATTATCGGAAGTCTACTGTACAATTAAACTGTCAAATGCATTCCAGATGTTTGCAGTTACAGGTGTGCTCTGGGGGTGATACTCATTTGCATAAATGTCCTCAAAGTATTTTCAGAAATGCAGGTCTGGATTCAGTGTGTCCAGTGTAAGAACACTTGGCACCTATGTATTTTACTGCACTAGCCAATAAAGAAGAGCAGAGGTGGAGATTTAGTTGGAATCTTAGCTAACCGAGTTGATGTTTGCCGTGACTTCAGTGATCTCTCCCTTCTTTCCTCAGGCTTGACAATATCCATCCCTGGCCTGGAGAGGGCACTGCAGCAGTATACCCTGGAACCTTCTGAGAAACCCTTTGACCTGAAATCTGTTCCTTTGGCAACTGCTCCCATCTCAGAACAAAGAACAGGTACCCATGGAATAACCGGGGGCACACTTCTCCAGTATTAAAGCTGTTTGTGTGCAACATCCCTCAGGGGATGGATTAGATGAGATCTCATGGACGTCTTTATCTCCAGCTTATGTGATGCCATATAAGATCCATCTTGTTTGAATTTTGGGGTGTTTATTTTCTGTAAAATCCATGCTAGTAAATTCAGTTGCTCCCAGATTAGGATTTTATTGTAATCCTCCTGCTAATAATAATAATCACACATAATCCTCACTGAAGCTGCTGTTTTTCCCGGGCTATTTTGGAAGTGAATCTGAGGATTTTGAGTACAATAGGATGCATTGCTTGGGGTGAGAGTAAGGAAGTCTGTAGCAAGACAAAACATGGGCTTCCTTCGTATTCTAAAGGAGTCCTTATCAGTATGTCTGATGCCTGTGAGCTAGTGATCTTCTCAGTTAATTTCTCTTTCCTGTTTTTCTTCTGCCCCTCCAGAAAGTATTCCTATCACTGTGGTCAAACAGCCAGAGAAAGTGGCAGCGACAAGACAAGAAATATTCCAAGGTAAGCAGAATGTATGGCAGCTTTCATTAACCCTGTGTAAGGAGAAGAGATGTGGCTGTAGTGGTCATGTGATTTGTTGGGTCTGCCTAAATCTTATAGCTTTTCACCATCTGAGGTTGATCCTCATGGAAGGGAAGTAGACCATTGTACTTCAAGCCAACTTCTGACTAGTGGAGTTATGATTAGGGGCTTGTCTCCTCAAGACAGATTACAAGCATCCTCAGTAGTTTTTCTAGCATATCTACTGAACAGTGTTCCCTCTAAGATTTTCCAACCATGAGCAGAGTGAGTTTTGGCTTGTGCACCAATATTGAGGTCATGTACGCTGGTTTGGATGTGTGCCAGCGTAACACCCAGTTTATTACTACACACTTGAACAGAACCCCTCCCCCCCACCTGCCATGCAGCATGTCCTGTTCCCGGTCACCAGAGCAGATACCCCTCCCGCCATGTGGCAGGTCCCATTCCCAGCCCAGCTGCCAGAACAGGTCCCGGCTCCCCCTGCCATGTAGCAGCCCTGGCCATTGCAGTAGGTCCCGGCCCTCCACTCCAGCAGCTCCCTCACCATGCCATCTCAGCTGGTCCCGCCTACTGGAGCAGCCGCCTGCTGTGCGAATTCTGCTGCTCGCTCTCCAGAGGAGGTGAGTGGGGGAAGAATTTTTTGTGTGCGTTCTTGCAGGCATCTTAAAATCATAGAATACCAGAACTGGAAGGGACCTCATGAGATCATAAAGTCCAGTCCCCTGGCCTCATGGCAGGACCAAGCACGGTCTGTATCATCCCTGATAGTTGTCTGTCTTACCTGCTCTTAAATATCTCCAGTGATGGAGATTTCACAGCCTCCCTAGGCAATTTATTCCAGTGTTTAACCACCCTGATAGGAAGTTTTTCCTAATGTCCAACCTAAACCTCCCTTGCTGCAGTTTAAGCCCATTGCCTCTTGTCCTGTCATTAGAGGCCAAGGAGAACAATTGCCCCCCCACACACACACTTCCTGTGACAGCCTTGTAGATACCTGAAAACTGCTATCATGTCCCCTCTCAGTCTTCTCTTTTCCAAACTAAACAAATCCAATTTCTTCAGCCTTGCCTCATAGCTCCAGTTTTCTAGACATTTAATAATTTTTGTTGCTCTTCTCTGGACCTCCTAATTTCTCCACATCTTTCTTGAAATGTGGTACCCAGAACTAGATACAATAGTTCTAGCCTCCATTTGAGGCCTAATCAGCACAGAGTAGAGCAGAAGAACGACTTCTTGTGTCTTGCTCACAACACTACTGTTAATGCATCCCAGAATCATGTTTGCTTTTTTTGCAACAGTGTCACACTGTTGACTCATATTTAGCTTGTGATCCACTATGACCCCTAGATCCCATTCTGCAGTACTCCTTCCTAGACAGTCACTTCCCATTCTGTATGTGTGAAATGGATTGTTACTTCCTAAGTGGAGCACTTTGCATTTATCCTTATTAAACTTCATCCTATTTAACGGGAACTATGCTGCTGAAGTGCTTGGTATTAGCCATTGATAGGCTATGGGCGTGGATACACCATTAGACTTAACCAAAATGGCAATTCCTATGTTCCTCATCTGGAGGTAATTCCAAACTTGAAGGGCCAGCAATGCTGCTTCTGACTTTTGAATATGACCTGCAACTTGGCACCTGTGAGTTTTGAAAAACAAAACCTGTTTATTTCTGTTAACTGTGTTTTAGAGCAACTGGCAGCTATCCCAGAGTTCAGAGGGCTGGGCCCACTCTTCAAGTCCTCTCCAGAGCCTGTGGCTCTTACAGAATCAGAGACTGAGTATGTGATCCGTTGCACCAAGCATATGTTTGTCAACCACATGGTGTTCCAGGTGCGTAGGCTGCTGCTACAGGATTGTAAAAATAATCTAATTGTTAAATGCCCACTGGGTTGTTTCTTCCCAGTGATGTGTTTTGTTTAGTTCACAATGTGCAAAAGAGGTGTATGGTTTTGAGAGAGCTTCTCCCACTAGTCTAGGCCCAAGTAATTTGAATTTAACCTCAACATGTGTGCATAATGTACATCTAAAGCATGTACACAATTACTAGATGATGCTGTTCTCATTCATACTATGTATGTGGGTGAGGGAGGGCTACTCTGTTTATGGGGTAGGAAGAAAAGGTACCTCAACCAGAAGCCTCAGAGTCAGTGTAAGGGTTGTCCTTAGGATTGATGGGGCCCTACGCAGTACTATTAGACTAGTGTCCCTATGCTCAATGACAGTGGGGACGGGGAGGGGGAGTGGGAGTGGAGGGAATGATGATTTTTTTAGAGGTGTGATTTTATAATCTTCAGCAACACATTAAAGAAATAGCTTTTAAACAAATTTTAAACTAAGGTCCTGTTGGCTAACACAGTAAATTCAGAAATTAACAGTATATACCTTTGGTTGGCCTGTTAAATGGCTTCATTACCACTTGAATGGCTCTTTCATAGTTTTGGTATCTGCTAATAGGTCTGGCAGGCCTTCTCACTTTTAAGTTAACTAGATCCTCTCTGGAGGAATCAGAACCAGAGAACAGGGATAGAAAGAGGCAGGTGGGTGGACACTGAGACCCAGTGGTGTCCCAAATGTTCAGGTGCCTACCCTGTGTAAGGGTCAGGATGACACTGGTCAGGGTCAAGAAAGGATGGAGCTTCCTTAATTCGTCAAAGTAAAAAGGTTACGATAGATTCAATAGAAGGACAGGCCAAAAGGAGAGAGTATTTTTCATCTGTTTATACTTATTTAAACCATGAAATTTATTTTTACACACACACACCCCTGCATCTGAGACTCCAACTGGTGCAAGGCATGAGGAGTTTTGCAGCTAGTTTATAAAGAGTATGAATATTTAATGCTTACATAACTCTTTTTACAAAAGCTCTCAAAACTCTTTACAGAGACACACATGCATTATCTTCATCCATTTTATATCTAGATCAAGCTAACCTTCCCTATAGTGAAGATTGTGGAATACTTTCCCGGGGAAGTGGTGGAAAGCTGTCTTTCTGGAAACTGCACTGTACAAAGCACTAAGACTGCACTAAAAGAGATGGATTACATGTGACCTAATAACTCTCTTCTATCTCTTAGTCCTCTCTGAGCCACAAGGCCATTGCGCCTTACTTGTTTTAAATGTATTTTCTTATTAAATGTTTACAGAGGTGTCTTCATCCAATGGAGTTTTTAACTTCTTAGCTGAAAAAGTAGAAATGCCAGCTTCTCTGTGGTACATGTCTCACACTTAATCTTTGATCACACAACTCAACATCCAGCAGAACAGAGTTTAGGATTTAGGTAGCAGATACTGCAAAATGGGGTCGGCCTTAAAAATTCATACTGCTCTGCCTGAAACATTATCTACTATTATGTCTATCATTATTGGCTTCAAGCTGTTGCTTCCCTTTTCTTCCTGGTGTAGTTTGATTGTACAAATACACTGAATGATCAGATCCTGGAGAATGTCACAGTACAGATGGAGCCGACAGAGGGGTATGAGGTCATTGGCTATATACCTGCCAAAAGCTTACTGTATAATCAGCCTGGTATCTGCTACACATTGGTAGCGCTGCCTGAAGAGGACCCCACAGCAGGTAAGCAGCTTGTTCTCGTAGATTCTCCTTCCCCTCAGATAACCCATATTGTATGTCTCATACCCTCTGCCCATTTCTAAGCCATTTGCTGTCGTTGGCAAGTGAACACACCACCCAACGGTACTGAGTACAGGTTTTCTTCACTACTCTGTGCAGTATAGCCTCTAAAGGCTCCTCTCCTGAAGAATTCTTCCTGCATCTTCTCCGAGGTTAATTTGCTCCAAAGCATTTCAGAATGAGGCTGTGCATAGCCCTTTGCCTCCCTTCTTCTCAGACACTAGGAAGACTGCTTGGCATGAATGTAACAATTAATGTGATGCTGGTTACTGACAAGGTCTGAGGTGGAAGCTGAAATTGGAGGATCCCACACTAACAGAACCTAAATACCTTTCTTGTCTAACCTGACCTCTTAATAGTAAGAGAGAGGTGGCTTTGTTAGTCTGTAACTAAAAAAAACTTAAACAACAATAATGAAGAAGTGGATTGTGCCCTCGAAAGCTCATGATACTATTTATATATTTGTGTTAGTCTCTAAGGTGCCACAGGACCATTGTTGTTTTTTAAGTTCTCTTAATAGTAGTTGTCTTTCCCCTGAGGCATAGACTTGGGACGCCCATTGCACTGGACATGCCTTTACTACTACCCTTAATAGATGTTATGACTGAAAGATAAACGAGGTCAGGCAATTTGTAAAGAGAGGACGGATGGTCTGGGAGTGTGAGCACTATCCTGGGACTCAGACTGGGGTTTAGTTCCCTGCTCTCCCACAGACTTCTAATGTGACTTTAGAAAATCACCTAGTTTCCCTTTGCTTCAGTTCTCCATGCATTAAATGGGGATAATAATACTGCTGTACCTCCCAGGGCTGTTATGAGAGGTTTGCAGTGCACTCAGGCACTATGGTAATAGGGGGCACGTAAGTCCCTACAGTAGGTAAATAGAACTTGCAGTGCCTACTAGAATGCATACAGCTGAGTCTCCAGCTCACGTATGCCCTTACCAGTCAGAAGGTAAAGTGGTCTCGTTTGGTTTTCTCTATAGTAACACAACTGATGACTGTTATACCTCTTCTTTTGTTCACTGGGTAGTTTCTGTTCCATCTGGGATGGTTCATCACTGCCTGTCTTAATTTGTAAGGAAGTATTAATCAGCTGCTGTGTTGCACTGCAGAGGCAACAGTATTTCAGTGGTAGGTGAAGTGACTCCTAGATAATATCTTGAGTATCTCATGGGGCAGTGAGGCTTATTTAATGAAGATTCCTAAAGTTTTTTGAAATCCTCCTATGAAGAATAATATAACTTAATCTGAGGGTCTCCATGTTTTACAAACAACTCTCACAGCCCACTGTATCTATAATCCTTTACTAATCTAAATATGTAGAATGTGAACATTTCATATTTGGAAGACTGAAGCACAGAGCCGGGGAAGTGACTTACCCAATTTCATACAGCAACTCAGTGGCCGAACTGAGAATAGAACACGGGGCTCTTCCAGTCCCCTATTTCGAATGCTGTACTGTGCTCCCGCCTATGGAGAGAAATGTATGTCATGTGGTAACATGAGTCTTTCCTTTGCCTCCTCCTTCTCCAGTGGCCTGTACATTCAGCTGCATGATGAAATTCACCGTTAAGGATTGTGACCCAAACACTGGTGAAACAGAGGATGAGGGCTATGAGGATGAGTATGTGGTAAGGAACTGATAATTGGACTTTCAGTAGGTCCAGGGGCTTTTGTTTCCCTTATATTTTCTGTGCACCAATAGCCTGTTCCTCTGAAATGTAATCTGTCCACAGAAGCTTTGGGCACTGTCTGTGAAGAAGGGTGTGAGGTTCCTCCCGGGGAGACAGAAGTTCTTTGGCATGAGTTTCCCTAGTTTCTGCAGCTGTTTTTCTGATTGTTGGGGCCAAGACACAAATTTACTGAAACTCTGAGCTTCAAAGTTGTAAAATCTAAGCATGGACAAGTGGTTTACTCTGCCTAACCTGAAGTATCCTCTTGTAGATACTCTTCATGCACATAGCAGGCTACCCCTCACCTTTAGCTCTACGAAGGCTGTGATGTCTCTCTCAGATTGGGTTGTCCTAGGTTAGCATGCTGTGTCATATATCAGGAATGAAGGCACTGAAAAACCAGCATTGTTCCTACCACATGTTGGCCAGCATAGATAGCCTTCCTGTGAACTAGAACTCTCTGTGGAAGGGTAAATAAAGCTCCTTCTGTTCTTGAACACTGCTTTTGATTTTAAAAATAACGTGTCAGTGCTTAAAACAGGACAGTGGCTCTACCAACACTGTAGCTGCTTTAATGAATAAAGGATACTGGTTTTTTGGTCAACTCCTCCACTGAATGAGTTTCATTTCATAGACCAGAGCCTGACTCTAGTACCAGGAAAATTCCATTGCTGGTCCTTGAACCTGTAGGAAAACCTCTTGGCGGTGAGACAAGGGCTGTATTAGTGTTACTTGTAAATGTTTCTATCTGAGCCAATAATATCCAATCAGAGCTTTTGAGCACAAAACTTATCTTCGTGCTGAGATCTTTCTTGCTTACTGGGAGGGAAAAGTTACCCTGAGCTTAGCCAAAAGCTTTGATCACTTCACACAGGGTGGCTTTGTTTGCCTTTTGGAGTAGAAGATATGATGTGTCTGACCGTAACCTGTTCTGTTGGCTCCTGTATTTCCCTGCCCCTTCTTCACCAGAAGAATGCTGAATATGAAATTGCAGAAACTACTTGGCAGTATATCAGCATGAGCTGGAGCTGGAGCTGTGCCCAAATAGAGGGAATAGAGATGTTTTTCCAAAGGACATTACATAACTAGACCCTCCTCTGTGCCAGATTACAAGAGACAGACATCCCTCTCCTTTGCGGCATTTGAGCAATTTTAAATAATAACCATAGTCCATCCATTAATGAAACTAGAATTATCAGATTTTGATTATACTTGCAGAGGGGTGTTACCAAAAGTATATGCACTGGAGAGAGAGGCTTCTCCAGTGAAGCAAGTTCTACCTCCAATAGATGTAGACACAACAACAGCTCAGTTGATCTAACATGCGGTAGTGGATGGTATCTGATATGATACTTCCGGAGAAAATCTCAAGTGCAGGCATGTACCCTTCTTCATTATGGACTCTGACGTTAGTCCTTCTCAGACCTGGGTTCTCTCTGTACATTAGTGATCTCAGGAATGATGAGCTGGGGAACAGAATACAGAGAAGTTTCTCAGTATTCCAGAAATGTAAATCCTACAAGCCCCTGCCTCTATTTTTATTTTAAAATTTATTTTTGTGTTGTCCCTTCTTTTGGATCTTTCTCAGACATTTTGATCTTTGGCGGGTTGAAAGCTATGTTTTGAATGGGAAATCCTGTAAGAAAATCCTGGGTATGGAAGAGTTGATGGCTCTTCCAACTTCAGTAGCCCATCAAAACATATTGTACGGGTTGAACCTCTCTAGTCCAGCACTGTCGGGACTTGACCAGTGCCAAGCCATAATATTTTTCAAACCACGGGAGGTTAATATTGTCTCACAGCATTACCAACACTTCCACTGCTTACTGGACTCTTAGAAGACAGGGGTAAATTAGAGCTAAATAACAGTGCAGAACACTGAGAGCTGTAAACAAACTTTATGGGACTGTGCAAATCTTGGCCACACCCAGGATAAGTGGACATCCGGCTAACTAAAATCATGCCAGACCATGGATGTTGCCAAACCAAAGAGTGCTGGATTAGAGAGGTTTAACCTTTACCAAAATACCATTGCTCAAGTAAATCAAAAGGGTAGAAGAAGCTAATTCTGAGAAATCCATGATGACACATAAATGTCACCATTTTTACTAGATTATAATGAGCCCTGTCTATAGATTTAGCCTGACAAGAACAGTCTTATTTATGTGAAACTTCCTTTCCCTATCAGCTTGAAGACATTGAGGTAACAGTAGCTGATCACATCCAGAGAGTTCTGAAGCCAAACTTTGGGGCAGCCTGGGACGAGGTTGGTGATGAGTTTGAAAAGGAAGAGACCTTCACTTTATCCACCATTAAAACATTGGAAGGTAAGGAAGTCTCTGACCCCCACAGAACTCCTAGCATTTTCCTGCATGCAAGAGGCAGAGTTCTGAACTCTGGCCTTTTAGAGTATGTCAGCACTGCAACAGGGAGATGTGATTCCCTGCACAGGTTGACAGACTTGCAGTAGTTCAGCTCATCTTAACACGCTAAAACTAGCAAAGTGGGTTCTGCAGCACTGCTGGTGGCTTGGGCTAGCCACCTAAGACCAGGCCCACATGCTCCGCTGGGTCTGAGCTTTGGAGGCTAGTCCAACCCATGGCCACTACTGCAGCATCCATACTGCTATTTTTTGTGCTTTAGCTAGAGCCGAGCTAGCAAAAATCTAGCTGCCCATGCAGAGAATGACACCTCCTAGCTGCATAGTAGACATACCCCTAGAGCTGTGTCTCCCTTTGCTCTATTGAATGCTCTTTTGGGCCTCAGTTGTACACCTTGAAATTGAAGTCACAGTTCATGTCTAAGGTCCAATACAGACCACTTTCTGAGTAAGACTGTAATGGTCCAAATTCATCTCCAGTGCAGATTCACAGAATTGGATTTAGCCCATTGTGCACAGTGTTAGCCTTTCATGAGAGAAAGCTGCTTTTAATTTTAAAAGAAACCATGTTGGTTTGGTCATTGCTGTGGTGATGGAAACACATCCCAAATTCTGAATATCAGTGTTTGGGAACTGGGAAGGCCGTATGGTGAGGAAGGAAGAGAGCACCTCTCACTGGCCTTGAGCAACACCCTTTTCAGGAAGTTGGAACATGGTTCAGCCTTAACTCTAGCTGTCCTTGCACAGGAGAGGTAGTCTGTGCCTTACAGCCCAAAAGTAGGAAGGAAGAATAAATGATAGAGGTAATATGAAGCTGGGGAGAGGAATCCTGAAAATGACTCCTTTTCTTGAAGTAGGAAGGAAGAATAAATGATAGAGGTAATATGAAGCTGCGGAGAGGAATCCTGAAAATGACTCCTCCTCTTCTCCTCACACTCAGTTTATTTATGTTAAATATTCTATCTAGGCCTCTTCCAAAACCCATTGAAGTCTGTTGGGTGACAGCTTCTGGGGATATTTTTATATTGGGCCCTCGTCATGTGATTTTGTGTTGCTCCCTTTAATGGCCACTGTCTGATGGGGATTAGTCCTTAGTTTGTTGCCTCTTGTCTCTTCTCTTTGGCTATCTCTGTGCTTACTTTCATGTCATTTCATGCTTAGAATACCTTCCCTGAGCTGATACTCAAAGCCACAACCCTCATTTATTTTAAATCCCCCTGAAGACCTAAGTCTCATGGGAGGCCTGAAATAAATTCATTGTCTCCTCCTTCATTTTGTCAATTTTTATTTCAAGTTATGCCACTGCTGTGCACTAGCCTTGCTGAATTGTTGTGCAGTCATTTTATGCTGTCCATGTCCTCCTTCCTGCTTACCTTTATGTGAGCCATGCACCCACCCCACTGAGTTGGTCCCTGTATGAACACCTGTGGAAGCATTGTCTCTGACCTGGAGAACTACTTTGTCAGCCCATTGGGGCAGACCAAATGTCTTCTTTGTGTTGGGAGGGCTTTACTATAACACTGGATCCTAATTAAATAATTACGTTAAATAAACCTATTAAACTGACCCTCTGATTTCTTTTAACAGAGGCAGTCAGTAATATTGTGAAGTTTCTGGGGATGCAGCCATGCGAGCGATCAGATAAAGTGCCAGACAACAAAAACTCACACACGTTATTCTTAGCAGGTAAGCTGTTGGGATTCTCTGTCGGGATCTGTGCCCCCCACCTTATGTGACACTCTTGACAGCTCTGAGGATACACAGGGATTTGCCTGCTTTGAGACTCAACAGTAGTGCTCAGGATGCTAGCCCAACTAGTACATAGCCTATCTATTGCTCATTTGCCAGAGCCTTGTGTAATATTAATTAGCCCAGGAGTAAGCAAATAGTGGCTCACAGGCTGGATCTGGTTCCCAAGGGTTAGCATGCTGGCCTGGCCCTGGGCACATGGCGCGGCGCTTGCGGGGAGCGCCGGCCCCGGGCGTGTGGCGCTTGCGGGGGGGAGGAAGCCCAACTAGTACATAGCCTATCTATTGCTCATTTGCCAGAGCCTTGTGTAATATTAATTAGCCCAGGAGTAAGCAAATAGTGGCTCACAGGCTGGATCTGGTTCCCAAGGGTTAGCATGCTGGCCTGGCCCTGGGCACATGGCGCGGCGCTTGCGGGGAGCGCCGGCCCCGGGCGTGTGGCGCTTGCGGGGGGGAGGAAGCACCG